TATATATATATATATATATATATATATATATATATATATATATACACACATGTTGTATTTGTGCTGATAAATAAATAAAGGGAGACTAGTATAGATCTATTTCAAGCTATTTAGCTCTCATCAGCTAGCCATACCCTTACTGGGATTAGAACCTGTGCTGTACTGCATCTTAGGCAGATGTGTTAACCATTAAGCCACAATGTTCTTGTATACACACACACACACACACACACACACACACACACACACACACACACAGTATACAGATGCATACACATACATACACACACACACACAAATAAGCACACATGTGTCTGTGTGTGTTTGTGTGTATGCAGATATTCAGAATATCTGTGTGTCTAGTGAAATTTATTTGCCAATGTCATGATGTCTTTTTTTTTTCATTCTTGGTACTAGAACAAAGATACTATCAGAATTTTTTTTAAAAAATACTTAAACTATCTATTATCCTTCATGAGTACAAAAAAGAGGGACAGATTCTGAGACATTGTGACTTCCTAAAATAAATTTAAAAGGCCCTCATCTCATTTTGTACTTTATGTCACGTTTCATCTGAATTACAATAAGCACAGATAAGCTATAAAAAAATGTAGAAACACAGATTTGTAGATAAATTGCTTATAAAATTTTAAAAAGAGTGTATTACAACTCCCTGAAGGACATTTCACTTTCTTAATTAGTATAAATGGCATTCAATGCATGCAGGCATTATGTAATAGAAGGTTTTCCTCTTTTCATTACACCTGAATTGTTCAGTTTAATCGGCATTACTTATTTTGACTCATGTAACACAGAGCCTAATTGCAACGGTACACCGGTTTAGCTCTTTTTATTGTATTCGTGGTTGGTAACCTGAACAGTTGGAGCAATTTTGCTCTGAAGCAATATAATCACATTTTCAACATCATAATTCCAATAGATTTGTTCCAGAACTATTTTATACTCTTTTGTTCTATCGTTCCTGGTTTTTAAAAATTACCCCATCGTCTCCACTGAGATGATCAGCGTGCTTTTGTTATGAAGCTGTTGTGTTATGAAGTCTATCATCACAGATAGTACACTGTAAACAACACGACTGCCGTTGGTCAATTAGAATGAAAATCAGATCAAAGAAACCACAGAGAAGGCAGAGAGGGGATGAAATGTTCAAAAGGAACCACGGTGGGGAAATAAAAGCTGGAGGGGAGAGAAGAAGACTATTAATACCTTTTAATATTGATTCCACCTTTCAAAAAGGATAGAGATTAGCTTGATCTTGCTTTCTTCCCTTGCTTTTCTTCCCTTGAACACTGAAGGTTTCTGGATGGCAAGCTTCTGGATATCAATAAAGAATTTCAACCATACCTTGGGCAAGGAGGACGTATTTTGGAAATACGAACACCAGATGTGGTGGCCAATGTCAAAAAGCAGGCACAAGCTGTGGGCTACACAGAAGGCGCTTTGTTGGCCCTGGCTGTCATCATCATCCTTTGCTGCATGCCTGCTATTTTAATAGTTATGGTCAGTTACAAACAGTAAGTATACAAGAGCCCTTTACTCTGGTTTGCATAGCACTTGTTACGTAGCAAAAATGGAAGTAGAAGGAGTCAACAAAAGGTACGCATTGCTGAAACCCACACAACTTACAGTATAGAGTTGTTTTAAAAGAATGACAGTCTTCTCTGAGATGTTGGTTATCCTTGCACTGAGTCCCTCCGGGAATAGGGTGGCATACAAGTGTAATAAACCTCTAAACCTCCTCTTTCCATTCAGGATTTGAAAATCTTTTGCTTTGATTTCTCCTGGAGGATTTTCAGCTATAGAGTAGAGAGACTTGTCTACAGCACCCTCAACTCACTCACAGTTTATGCTGATTCTCCCAGGGCCTCCTCCATCCGACTAAGCACATAACACCCTTAACATACTCCACTGTTTCTCCGCTCTGATGGGATTTCAGCAGGGAGGATTTCAGCTCCCGAGTTCTCGGCAGCACCCAACCCCAACTCATGCTGCACTCCCAGAGTCTCCCACATTCCCAGAGTCATGCTGCACTCCTTACCATACTTCATCTCTGCTCTGCTTGGATTTTGGCAGGGAGGATTTTCAGACCCTCTAATGCTCCAGAGCTGAAAATTCTCTCTGCTGAAATCCAACCAGGAGGGGGAGGCAGCCCTGTAAGGTAAGGAGTTCAGGGTGACTCAACAGGATGGGAGAGGTCCTGGGAGACATGGTGCATGAGTTTATTTGTTTATTACATATGATTTTTGGGGGGGGAGGGGAGTATCTGTGGACAAGTCCCGGAGGACCCGGACTGTGGGGGCAAGTTGCTGACTCAATTTGCTAAAAAAATTTGTAAACCGCTTAGAGAGGGCTGAAAGCCCTATGAAGCGGTATATAAGTCTAATTAATAAATAATTAATAAATAAATAAGTCTCTCCACTCCATGACTCACAATCCTGATTGGTTTTCATCAGTGACCTTTTTCAGCCTGCCCTCAGAAACTAAAGGGTATCCTTTTGATGGATGGCAACAGTTTGTGATTTTTTCCTGCAGGTTTCCCCATTGACTTTCTGGTGAAGCCAGCAGGGAAGTTTTCAAATGCTAATCACATGATCGCAGGGCAATTGGCAGTCAGTCATGAGTGCAAATGGATTGCCAAGTACCCAGATTGCTATCATATGACTGCGAAGAAACTGCAAGGGCTGTGACTTCAGGCACAAGTCCTAAGACCCTTTGTTCAGTACCATTTTAATTTTCAATATTCACTGAATTAATGATCGTAAGTGAAGGACTATGTAGAGCGGGGTGTCCAACTAGCAGCCTGCAGGCCAAATGCGTCACGTGCAGGCCATGCCCAACTCAACTCCGCAAAGGTGTTGCAATACATCACATGACAGCAATGTGACCCAACAAGTTTGAAGCCCATGATGTAGAGACTGTTTATCTCTTATGACTGATGTTCTGATGTCACAGTAAAGATTCAGTTCCTAGCCAAGTACATCTATGTGTCTATGGAACTGTTGCTTAAGAGAACATCTGTGTTAGAAAGCCTAACAATTAAGTGGCCCACTAGAACATGAAACTAGCTTTGACTTCACATAGCTTACTTGCTAGCTATAGTTGCAAACTAGCAAGTAATCAGTTGACCTACAGAGAACTGTTTTCATCCCATGCTGACTTTCTTATATGGTATAAAGGTTTTGACAACCCTGTTTTGACTCAGCTCATTATATGTTATTTTTGAAGCATTGCCATTATAACTGGTAGTACGTTTGCAAAATTTTTCTTTAATTCAAATAATGAATTAAACTCTTTAATTCAAATAATGACCACCTGAAGAAGAAGAAAAAAAACAGTGACGGCAATTTTTTTTTTTTTCAAAGGAATGTCAAAACCCTGAAAATACTATTATTCTTCTACGGTCTGACTTAAATAATTTAGGAAATATCTCTATTTTTCTTTTTCTATAGCTTTTCTTATGCCTTAATTGGCAGCCATAAATGCTAGCAAAATAACAGATGAAGTCTGCTACATAGTGGAAAAAATTATACTTAAATGAACATAACCATCATTACTGATGCCCATAAAATGGAAGCATTCACTTTGTAATAAAACATTTTGCAATACAATTTGTTTAACATTCCAATTTGTTTAACATTCAATGAATTTTTCCAGATTATTACAAAAAAAGAGCTTTAAAGTTAAATGAATTTTCAATTGCTTATTTGCTTATGGGAATGAGTATTGTTGTAGCATTGTAGGAAAATAATAAAAAGAAAACTGTTATTTCCTATGTAGCAATAATTTTGAAGTTTCAATAGTCTACACACAAAGAAAATAATAATTATGGGCCAAAGGTAAATGAATTAATAATGGGCATATTTACTATATATTTACTACTTAATGTTTTTATTTATTTGTCCACTATTTGTTAATGTCAATATTGTATTTGTCCACCACCCAGAATCCCTCTAGGAGGGAAATGGATGATTTTAGAATTTAATAAATGAATATTCATCATGGATATATAGAAACAAAATTCAGAGATATACCATTATTCTAAAATTGTCTAAAATTGTGTGATTTAAAATCTGGATGAAAAATGCAAGTACAGATTTGTGTACAGCTTGTGAGTGCTAAAATGTGTGTACATGGAGATGTAAGTGAATGAATGAAAGTCTATTATGGCCAAAGGCCAGAAACACAAAGTATAACCTAAAAGAATTTAAAAATTAATTAAATAAGAAAAAGAATAATACAAGTGATTGTAATAGTTGATATAGAAATCTGTTGTAACTGTAGGAGTCCTTCCTCTATTCCATGTTCAATTTTCACTCCTGCTGCAGAGTATTACAAATTGGAAAGAAGCCTAAATGTATATGTAGGTGTGGACATTTTAATAAAACTATACTAGATTACAACCAAGAATATATGCTCAGGTAGATTCTGCTCATTCTGCCTCCAGGCCTTGTCCAGAGACAGTAACTTCCAATGCAGGATTTTCGGATAAAGAATTGAACTGAATAGCTATTATCAAATGGTAAAATACTACGCTGGCAGACAGACTTATCGAAAGAAGTGCACTACTATTCTATTTGGTCCCTGACACCAGACTATTTTGGTTTATTTATTTATTAAAATTATTAAAATTTCACAAGAAATTATCATGTGGGCGACGCTGGGCCCGTTCCAATCATACCAGTTGGAACGGGATCCGGAACCCACCACTGTTTAGGAACCACTGTTCTAGAGCGACGGGCCCTGTAGCATGCCTCTTTTGCCAGATCTGATTGGACGAGCCATGCCATGGAAAGTTTTAAAAATCAAAACCAGCACCTGGGAAGGAAAGGAAAGGAGCCCTATGGATTGTACTCTGCTTGTCGTTGCTGACTATAGGGGGCAGTGCTCCTCCCCATTTCAAGCACCATTTGAAGATGTTTCCATGGTCATGTGGCCAGCATGATGTCACAAAATGCCTTTTCCTCACCACCAAAGTGGTACCTATTTATCTACTTCCATTTGCATGTTTTTGCCAGGCAGGAACTAGGAAAAGACGGGCACTTGTCCGCTTTCCAGCCAATAAGCTCCGTGTCTTTAACTGCTAAGGCATCGCACCTTCCTGGCTATAATGTTAATAGAACAAATCTGGCTTATTCCATCAGATGGAAGAAGTCTTCTTTTTCCCCAATAATGTAATATATATTTTTAGTTCACAATAACCTATCAGGTTACTCAGAGATGGGTTGCTCTCAGTTTGGCCCAGCGGTGGCGGGAGGCTCTGGCCACCCGCCCGGACACTTCTGCACATGCGCAGAAGTGCCGCACGCATGAGCAAACTGCTAATAAAAAAATGGAAACCCACCACTGAGGTTACTCTTTTATTAAGAGTTAGCCTGTGTTAGTTTTAATCTACTAAACCTGCATAAATCCATGTTTTAATAAAATACTAGCTTTCCCTTTAGAAGGTATATTATTTTATGGCTCTTTCAAAGGAGGGAGGGATTTTTGTAAGATGGTATTAATGGCAGTTATCACAGCATTAATTGCAACTAAATAGCTATTTTTTTATTAAAGGTCACCTAATTAAAGATATCCTATTAATTTATTAAACTATCTCTAATGGATTAGTCAAAATAATTAAGGATTGAGGAGGGAGCCCTAAAAATATGTACCCTATAAAGTGTTAAGAATTTTCTGAATTATTTTTCTATGTGAATCTCACTGTTTATTCTCTTATTTCTGTTTTACCATTCTGCATTACAAAACAGATTTAAAGAGTAAGTATTTTATTTTTAAACTTTATTTGCCTTGTGTATGAATATGCAAAAGTTTAGCTTTTGGGTACAATGATTTCAAAAAGAAGGATATATATATGTATCAGTAGGACAGTAGTACAAAATGTCAAACAACCTAATAAGGTAAATCTATTAATTCAGTGGTACTTGAGATATTTATCTCCTCTATAATCCCAGCCCCTTTTCTTTTTTCAGCTTAGATTGTAAGAAAATAGGAGCTATATTTATAGTTTTAAATATCCCAGTTATTCATTTTAGAGAACTTGAGTTCATTGTTCGGCTTTTCAAGAACTTTCTAGTCAATCGTGCACAAAAACACCAGTACAATATTCCATTGTAACAGAACTGAGTATATCTGTAGCAAGAAGCTACGATTTTATCCTGTTTGCAGTATTTTCAAATGGTTAGCATTAGCACCAATTAACAGATGAAAACCTCTAATGAATTCTTCACATGACTGTTTCTACCGGTGTGGGCTTATTAGAAGCATTCTTTGATTCCCTTCAAATCTCTTCGCTTCTTCCCCATATGATTTCACCAAAGGAGACAAGCTGAATGTGCAAAGACAGCTCGCATCCAGATGGCTTTACCAGCTGGCAAATCAGCAAGCATCCCTGCCAATAATCTCTACGAAGAACTGGGTGACAGCACCATGTAAGTTTTCAATGAAATTTAAAATGCTAATAACGCAGGGTATAATTTTGAGACTTTAGAAATTACAGTCATCATGGCTAAGCAAATTAATATATAATCTTCTAAATATCAACCACATGTTGGTGAACATCATGGGGGAATAGTGCATTTATCAAAGGAGGATAAAGAAATGGTAACTGTGTAAGCAGAAGCATGTAGGAAAATTTTGGACACGTAAGAGAATTGTGACAAGCATTACTGTCAATTTGGTATATCAAGTGGGAGATCATCTGTGTACGTACTAAGTATATTTCAGAAACTTTTTGTAAAAATTTTAAACATATTTTAAAGTATGCAAATTTATTTTTGATATCACAGGATTAGGTAATTTGTCAAATCCAGTGTGTACCTTCCTGTACAAGTGAATTCTGTTTAGTGCATTGGGAAGAACTATAGAGCCGAGGTGGCGCAGTGGTTAAATGCAGCACTGCAGGCTACTTCAGCTGACTGCAGTTCTGCAGTTCGGCTGTTCAAATCTCACCG